GGAACATCAGTAACCATTATTAATCAGCCTTATTAAAAGATGTTTCGTCTTTAGGCACCACACAGTCACACACCATAGCTTCAAACTCTTCAAAGTTCAAATAACCATCACCATCTGCATCCATGTGTTGAACAATCGTAACACATCTCTCCTTGTTGCATTCAAGCCCGAGCCTAGTCATGCCCTCATAGAACTCATTGCCTGATATCTTTTTGTCACCGTCAATATCACAAAAATGAAAAGCATCTTTCAACATTTTATCAAGGTGCGAAGTAAACTCGTCGACATTGAGCTCACCGTCACCGTCCACGTCAATCGCTTTGAAAACTTTTACGATTTCTGCTTGAGTAATGTTCGGAGATATAACAAGAGCCACTTCACGAAACTCGTCCAATGAGAGTTTACCATCTTTGTCCTTGTCGAACCTCTCGAAGATCTCTTTTGTTGCAGACATTTTTCTTCTTCTTACAGTTATTTGTTTTGTTTGCTACTACTACTCTGTTTATGAGAACTTGTGTGAAATGTGATACACTGAAAACAGACCGTTTTATAGCACAGCCAAGTGGAGCAATCGAACAGGGTTGCTCTGTTGAAGAGCAAGAAATTAATAGTCCAATTAATGATTAACTGGAAATCAAATATTTACAACAAATAAGTAGTTTTCAAAAGGGAGAAAAATTAAAAGTAAGACATATCATATATGCATATTTGGAAACCAAAATATGTAGATAGATTTTATCCTATAAATTGGATGTCTTTTCAAATGTATAGTTTAACTGATTGGGACACTTGAAATATATCTACTTTTACTTTAGGAGAAAATGATTAGATTTTCAAGACAAAAAAAAAAGAAAATATATTTTAAGCAATATGTTATCTAAAATTAAATAGGATTCACTTTGACACATGTTTTTGTTAAGCTTATAATCTACTTTTCAAAATATCAAATCTCCAAATAGAAAATTCATAGTAGGTAGAAAAAAAAAAAGGATAAAATGTGTAGATATTAATTTTTAAATAGTATAAAAGGAGAAATAAGTGATTTTTAAAATATATTTCACATTTAAGAGTTTTTCTTTTGTTTTCTTACTTATGATCTTCGTTATCTTTTAGTGACCAACTTGTCTTTGAAATCTGTAGAATCAGATACTATTGTATTTAGAACATTTAACATTGTTAAGTGGAGAATCAACAATGGAGCCTATACTTCGTGGAATTCGAAGGCTTTGGTCTGTAACACAAATATTCTTTCACTCAAAATTAATGCCATCTTATAAGAATATTGAATTGTAAGTATATAGTTGGAGATACCTTATTTTGGGTTTATTGTTTTGCCTTTATCGAATCGGCTATAAATTTGTATTATTCAACGACATGCACTTTAGTTATAAATATATATAAACGGTCGAAAAACTCTATATATAACCCATGACAATAAACATCAATAAACTTTTATTAATAATCAACTATAAGTAAAAAAACACATTTGCTAAGCAAGCAATTTACTCTTTCTTACAATACGTCACCAATGACCATAACCATAAACTCCTCCAAGTTCAAGTAACCATCACCATCTGCATCCGCGGCTTGAACCTTCTCGGCACAGCTCACCTCGGTGCACTCTTTCCCGATCTGAGTCATCAACATGTAGAACTCATCGGCCGGTATCTTACCATCACCGTCAACGTCACAAAATGTAAAAACTTCCTTCAACATTTTCTCCAGGCATGAAATAAACTCGTCGGCGTTAAGTGCACCGTCACCGTCCACGTCAATCTCTTTGAAGATCTTTGCGATTTCTTCTTGAGAAACGTTCGGAGAGAAAGCAAGAGCCACTTCACGAAACTCGTCCGATGAGAGTTTACCATCTTTGTTCTTGTCGAACTTCTCGAAGACTTTTTTGGCAGACATTTTTCTTTTGATTATATGTTTTGTTTGATATTATTGTTGTTATGAGAATTGTGTGAAATGTGTTACACTATGTTCTTATATTTATAGGGTTTGAAGAGCCTCAACTCCAATTAATAATTTAGTTAGAAATAAATGTTAAAGGAAACAAAAAAACAAAAGTATTATAGATAGTTGTAAAGATATGTAGATTTGATTTTATAAACTGGATTTATTATTTTAATATATGATGATTGTTGACCCAACAAAAAAAACCTTGATTTATTGCATATGTTTCGAGCATCATTAACAATGAACTTTATGTGGGTATCACTAATATTAAAGTAGTATTAATTTTAATAATAGTTTAATCATTTAATAGTAGTATTAAACTTGGTCCAATCACACCACAATACGTGACACGGAAATGAAGAACCGAAGAAGAACCGTCTCAGCCCACCGAACCCACCGATACGTTTCAACATACAGTTACATTAAAATAATATTTTTTCTTTCTTTTTATTATATTTTATTATTTGAAACACTCAAAGTCTCACCGTTAATGTTGCTCTTATTATTAGTTCCTTGTATCTCACAATAATTCATATTGTACTCAAATGTACAATTTGACTGATAGGGCGACCTAGAAAAGTATTAACCTATACACTTTTGACACATAATCAAATAATTTCATCAAGACAAGAAAAACAAATTATCTTAAGGAATATTTATCTAAAATTAGATACTTTGACACATGTTAAGCTTATAGTTTACCTT